TGCAAGCTTCAACTCGTCGATGGTCCGGACTCTTCTCAAGGTCTTCTTGGTCTTCTGATGAATCCCCTTCACCGTAAGGTCCAGCATCTGAGAGTCTTCCTTCATTATCAGCCTGCCTCCAACAGTCTCGATGACCAGTTCCTCCTTTCTTCCTTGAGCGCCGATTTCTTCTGCTACCTTCTGGTCTAGCAGCGACACTGTTGACCCTTCATCCATGAGGGCCAATATCTTCTTTGATCCTTTTGACCCGAAGATTTCTATCGGAATTATCTTCAGGTATGCCCTTGCGTTGTTGACCGCATTCACCGATGCCATGATGCTCGCCACTTCTTGTGGTTTGTTCTTCTGTTCTTCCGAGGAACTTTTCTCTGTCTCGACGTGCAGCAGATGATGATGCCACCTCTTGCATTCCTTGCACGACGGCTTCTTGCAGCTCTCCTTCCGATGTGTCCCTTGTAAACACTTGAAGCAAACGCGGCTTTTCTTCACTATTGCCCATCGATCTTGCACAGACGCCTTCAGGAACTTCTGACACCCGACGAGGAAGTGTTCACCCTCACACATGGGGCAAGTCTTCTCTGATCTTGAAACCTTTTCTTTGAAGTCCTTTTCCTTAGTTGAATGCGTTGCTTGTCGATGAGTCCGTCTGAACCCGCTCTTCTCTTCTGTTGATGCATAGGCTCCACACTTGTCTGCTTCTCTGTTCAGGAACTTGGACACCAGTGTTAGGTCGGAGAACTCGCCTTCTTCTGTTGTTTCAATGAAGTCGTACCATCGGAACTTGAGGATCGTAGGCATCTTCTCAATAATTTGTTTCACCATCTCAGGTGAATGCAGGTACTGTGGTTTCTTCAATCCTTTTATTGCCGCTACGCTGTTGCTGATCTGGCTCGCGAAGAGGCATATGTCCCTTGGGTTTTCAGAAATCTTCGGCAACGTTTTGACCTTGTCCAACTCTGCCAGCACCAGTGCATCTGGTCTTCCATATCTTCTTCTGAGGGCTTGAATCACTTCCATCGGAGAGGCTTCGGAGTACAGCAGACTCTTGATAGCTTCTCTTGCGTTGCCCTTCAGTGCTCTTCTTAGCCGAGCCATATTCTGGACGTTGTTGAACATCGGTGCTGTATCTTCATAGACAACCTTGAAGGCCATCCACTCGCTGCTGTTGCCGTCGAAGTAGGGTAACTCGTGAATGTAGGTTGGCTGTCCTGCTGGTCCTCGCGTGGTAAGAGCTTCCTTCAATGCTGCCGTCAGTGCTTGAATTTCAATCGTAGCTCCTCTCGTTGAGGAGTTCTCTTCAGGCTTCATCTTCTGTGGCTCTTCCAAGGGGTGTGGACCTCGCATCTCTGGTTGAACTTTGTTGCCATCCTCCAGCACAGACGTCTTGATCCAGTTCTGCACCTGTGCTGTTCTGTCTTCCAGGTCTTCATCCACGGAGTCCTCTTCTTCACACTGTGCCATCTCCAATCTGACACGGGCTAGCTTAGTTTCAGCCTGTGCTTGCTTCAACTCCAGGCGTGCCAACTCTTCCTTTGCTTCTAGCTCGCGTCTTCTGGCCGAGGAACTCGTGGTCTTCGTGGACCTGGCGCGACGACTGACCCCCATCGGTTTCAGGGTCTTGGAGGAGCCTTGAACATCCTTTCCAGGTACATCTTCTTGGCTCTTCCTGGTCATCCTCTGTGCAGCATCTTCTTTGTTGCCTTCCATAGACGCCGCCGTAGTTGCAGTCGTAACCGTAGTCTCCGTCACTGTGGTGCCCTCCGTGGTCGTGGTACCCGAAGAAGTGTTCGATGTAGTTGCAGTTCCCGATGACGCCGACGCTGACGTGACCCCTTCTGATCCCGACGTTCCATCTGTCGCGTCCCTATCTGAAGGACGGGACCCGGGACGTGAGGGGGCATCCTTCTGCGACCTGGTTACCGGCATCTTGAACGCAATCTTCTGTTTCTTCTGAACTTCTTCTAGCAGGGATCCGGCTCGAAGGACCAACTGTTTCGGACGACCAGAACCAGGGTATGTCTAGTACCCGGAGGTCGACCTGGGACAATCTCCCAGACGTTCTTGGCGTACACGGCAGTATGTCCGTTCGCTGGTAATGTACGCCACCACGCACCCCTGAATGCGTAGCTTGGGTCCCGATCCACTAGGGTTTCTTCGTTGACAGGAGACTATACTTAGAGGCGATGAAATAAAACACAATTTTTCCTTTTTTCTCTCTTGGTTTCGGTTCTTCCTTTTCCTTTTAGTTGTTGCCTCTTCGGTGGCTGTCTTGCGACTGACTCGAATCGAGAAATGGCTCGCCTTTTATTTGGCCCGTTAATACCTTACAGAGAGCCGCGTACTTTGAGCTCGTTTTTCGAATAAAATTTCCCTAAACCGAAACCTTGAGAGTCCTTTTATTTTATGTTTTCAGTAAAACACCTTACACATATTTATTTATTTACATGCCTTACATACTATTATACAATATTAAAACATAATATTCAATATATAATAATTAATTAAAAAAGTCTTAAAACAAAAATATCTAAATTTCTAAGTTGCTACATTTTTACTATACATTTTCCCTTATAACTTTTGAACGGATAGTCCTATCGACCTAATTCTTGTTTTATTATAAGTTTTATAATAAAATCTATTATTTAAAACATAAACTATTATGCTATTGCAAGAAACAAAAAATCTCATTTTCAAGTTACGTAATTATATGCTAACATTTTACTTACGTACCTATTCCTTTCAAATTAATGTTAAATAGTCTTATATGATTCAAATAAGCAAAAAATACTCTAAACTAACCTTATTACACTAATTAGAACTTATTTTAACATAATAAATCTAATAAGAATGAGATTTCATATTTACAACAATTATTCATAATACGCTAAAATGACATTGTCCCTATATTAATACACACGTTACTCGAAGATAAGTTTTCCGTCGCCGACAGATTTTATTCCTTACTTTTACACCCAAGTACCTACATATATAGATAAACTTAAAAATCAAAACCTTATATTTGATCAAATCGCTTGAGCCTTTTACGAGATGAACGAAATAAATTTATTTTTAAATATACAAGAATTGAGCAATTCTTAGAATTTAATAATATTATAAGAATAATAACAGAAACTTCTGACCTTCGGCGTAGTAGGCCAACGCTTTAACGGGTTATTAGACGGCGGCGGCGACATTACAAACCATATTGCGCGGGAAAATCTTTTCAACCGACTTCCTCAAAAAGGAGAAGGTTCTCAATTCGGCTGTATTTTTTATTATATTTTAGTGTTTGTTACCTCAGAACTTTGTCATTTATTAACCGATTTGGACAATTTCAGTTTTGTTTAAAATTTTATACTTCCAGATTTGTCCCATTTAAATAAATAAAAAAATACCACCCCTAAGGGTGGAAAAATAGCTAATGATGAATTTAACCTAATTGTCCTTCTAATTGTCATATATCAAACTAACTTTAACGGTTTAAGTGAATATTTTATTAAAACACTTTCTTATTACTTTGCTACTAATATCTATGTCTACACTAAAAAGGAAAAAATAAAAACTAAAAAAAACCGACTTCAAAAAAAGGATTTTTTTAAGTTGCATTTTTTTTTATTTTTATTGCGTGAAAATACGGAGAAAACGAGTTTTCCCAGATATGAAACCTAGCTAGGTCGATTTTTCGCTTCCGTAAGCTCCCATAAAGCAAATTTCATCGAAATCGTTACAGCCGTTTTCGAGAACGTGATTACGAATATACTCGTATATAATACAAATATGGCTCGTTTAATAGTATAGGATTGAAAAAATGTTAAAAAAAAAGGATTGCAGAGAGAGGAAGACAGAGAGGGAAAGATAAAGTCGCATGGAGGGAACATAACACTTTTTCCTTAAGTCACGAAAATGTATGCATATTCTTAATCAAAATATCCATATTAAATTATTTTTAATAATTTTGGTCTGTCTGCCTGTCTGTCTGTTACCACATCGCAGAAAAACTACTGGAGATTTTGATGAAAATTGGTATGTTGATAGCTGGTTATCCGGTTCAACATATAGAATACTTTTTACTCGGGAAAATGTTTCGTTTTTGAGAAAAATACAAAAACTGCAATGTAAGAGTATACTAATATGTAAAACCTAAAAATTTGGTTTTTGGTCATCTGAACGTGGGCGGTGCCGCGGGCAATGCTAGTACATAATAAGAGTAGATAAGCTTATTAACAGAAATAAGGTTACCACTGAAATTGTTTTATATGTAGGTCATTAGTCGCTACTATCCTTTATCGAAATCAATTTAAAATTGATTTCAATAACTTTGTTTTAGTTACGCTATAAAAACTTTTGCATATTTTAAGCAAACAAAAAAGGGTAAATTTTATTACAATACATATTTTGTGATTCTAAGAAATAATAAAAACTTTTAAAAATTAATATTTATGAAATGACGAACAATAAAATGTCTAAGTAGATATTAATAATTTCTAATAGTAATTCGTAGGTACTATTATTCTATAGAATTAAAATAAAAGTAAAAGTAATAATAAGTGATTGATTACCATATTATGCATTATCATTATTGCAACATAATAAAAGACTTAAAAATCATACAAATAATTCTTAAATATATGTATTAAAATTAGTTTTAAAAGTGTAGGTCACGATATTTATATGCAGGTAACAATTTTGTAATAATTTTGACACACTACACCAGTTTTTTTCTTTTCTTCAATTTTAGCTTTGTTACTTCATAAAATAAAATTTACACGGTATTAGAAATGACTAAACCTGCAATTTAATTGTGTAGAACTTAAAGAAACTTCCATGAACTAGCTCACTAGTAATGTTTTGTAATATCTTGGCATATCAACTGTTTACTAATATCACAGATCATATAATATTATACTATTATAATATTTAGCTGTTACAATAGTCCAACAAATGCGAAAGCGGGTCGAGAAGTAACAGTTACGTAAAGAAAGTACATATTATTTACTAACCGGGACATTGTCGCACGTTAGTCGCTGCAGCGATCACCAACAAAGAGCACACGACCACACTTAAGGACCACATATTGATATCTGAGATGTTTCTACTGACAAACTGGTCAAATGACTGAGCAACATGCGCCGCCGCACTCGCTTTAAACACTCATTTCGACCAAATTCTGATATTTCAATGGAAATAATACTAGTTTTTCACTGACACACAATAAGGTTCATATTATAACAAAATTTAATTTCTAAGTACAGATAATTATAAAAAAATATACTTTGTTATATCAAAAAACTAAAAAAAAAATAAAAACCGGCTTCGAAAAAACACTAAAAAGTAAAAAATAACTGATTGGTAGTTTTCATTTACTAAAGATACGTAATAAAATATTTTCGAAGTCGGTGTGCTTTGATTTGTACCAGCTGGTTCGACTTCGAAAATATTTGATTAGGTATCTATAAAAACACTATTCATTTTTCCGGGATGAAAAGCAACCTGTTGTTTGACTGGCAATATAAAGTATCAGCATGCCAAATTTTACTAAATTAGGTGCATAAGTTGTTGTGTACTAAGCTGTATAAGTTACTATAGTTTTTTAACTATCCCACGGGAAATCTTTAATTTTCCGGAATGAAAAGTATCTTACATGTTGACCGGGTATATAAGGTACGACCAAGCAAAACTTCACTTAAATTGGTTCAAAAGTTTTGGAGATTAGCCCCTACAAACAGGCAAACAGACAGAGAAACAAAAAAATTGAAAAAGAAAACTGGATTTGTTCTATTTTTCTTCTTACGGGATGTAAGAAGATAACTGACTCGGTTTTTAGCATTTTTTTCTATGTACAAACATTTGACCTCTACAGTTTTATTATATTTATAGATAGAATAAATAACGTATAATAAAACAGTAATATATAATAATGAAAATTGTTATAGCGAGTGTACCTTAGGAGATAGACATATAGTATTGAGAAATTTTCAATCGACCTTTTTAAGACTTACAATTTTCTTGAACAATGTTTTGATCTATCTCTAAGGTTAAGTCAGCGTTAGCCATATAAATTTCGAAGGACAATTCGATAGAACCAGTTATTGTGTTTTCCCGTGGGAATGAATACTTCGCCTGTCGTAAAAGGTATCCTAAATGTTGACCCGAGTACTAAGTGAATATCACTATACAAAATTTAATAAAAATCGGTTCAATACTTTTTGCTTGAAACGCGCACATCGATTTGACTAAGTTAGTTTTATTATAGGTATAGATAAGAATAGATATTGCTTAGGAGATATACAATATACATATACTATTCAGAACTTTCCTGTTGAACTTTTCAAGACCTACAATTTTTTAGTATAACGTTTTGATGTGTGTATGTCTTAAGGTTTAGCCAGCGGAAGGTTTCTAGGGAGGACTCGATAAAACCAGTTATTGTATCTTCCCGTATGAAAGAAAGATTTTCTTGAAGTAAAAGGTGTCCTAAACGTTGACTCGAGTAATAAGTTATCACTTCGTCAAATTTCGTTATTTCATTACTTTTTCAGTGAAACGCGCATACAAAAACAGACAAACAGACATACAGGCAAACAGACAAACAGACACTTTTTTAATAACTATTGTTTTGGGATCTATGTTGTGTACATAATACGTTACAAATAAACGAAAACATCTATCCCACGGGAACTGTACATTTTTCCGGGATAAAAAGTAACCTATTTGTTATTCTGGTGTATGGCCTATATTATTGTAAAATTTCATCAAAATCCAATCAGTAGTTTTTGTGTACTAAGCTTTATAAGTTACTATAGTTTTTTGACTGTCCCACGGGAATCCTTTAATTTTCCGGGATGAATGATAGCCGATTTTTTATTATCATGTATGAACTACATTATTGTAAAGTTTTTTTAAAATCCAATCAGTAGTTTTTGTGTACTAAGCTGTATTATAGTTTTTTAACTATCCCACGGGAACTATTTAATTTACCGGGATAAAAAGTATCTAAGATGTTGCCCGGGGATATAAGGTACCACCATGTAAAATTTCATTTAAATCGGTCCAATAGATTCGGAGATTAGCCTGTACAAACAGACAAACAGACAAACAGACAGAGAAACAAAAAAATCTGGATTTATTCTATTTGTCTTCTTACATCCCCCTGACTTGGTTTTTAGCATTTTTTTGCTATGTACAGACATTCGACCTCTACTGTTTTATTATAGTATAGAAGATAGATATAGATTAGTAAAAGAAAAGTATTTTTTACTTTTTAGTGTTTTTTTGAAGTCGATCTTAATTTTTTTTCTCAAAAAGTTTTTATTTTTTCCTTTTTAGTGTAGACATAGTAGTAGCAAAGTAAGAAGAAAGTATTTTAATAAAATATTCGCTTAAGCCGTTTGAAGTCGGATTTTATTTTTTTGTTAAAAAGTTTTTATAAATCCCTATGATTTTCAAGTTCAACAGTTTCTATGGTCAGCTCCTATAAGTGCAAAAACGAATTTCAGTAAATTTTTCTTTAGAAACGCAGATCTTGTCGCCGGCGATTTCCTTTTTAACCGACTTCTAAAAAGGAGGAGGTTCTCAATTCGTCGGAATCTTCTTTTTTTTATGTACATACTACATATGTATATTGATCTATTACTCGAAGACGCCTGAACCGTTTGGATTTTTTTTTGTTTCGAAGGGTATACTTCCCAGGTAGTCAGTCCCATTTAGAGGGCTAATCACCATTTTTTTTGTATTTGAGTCTTTGACTCGAGTTTTGATGTGTGATTATGGTTTAGATATGACTAGGCTACAAAATTAAAAAAAAAATGTCTGAGAAAGTTTGATTATTTCTTTGGGGAGTGTTCTAAATAAATATGTATTTTAATTTGTTTACACACATGAGTAAAAACCTTGTGTCTGCAAAGGATGTTTCATAAAATTCTACTTTTGGGCATCTTTTGAGGCTTTGTTACATAGAAGACATAATTATATAATAATCTACAAAAATGTCCACGGTACAATTGAATGTTGAACTTTGGAATGCTCAATTCAATTTATTATGTTTCATACAGTAATACACCAAAACTAATTCCGTAAAACAGAGAGACACTGACAATTTTTCGTCCGAAATTATATTTTTATTTATAAATATATATTCCAAATTCAAACAAAAAGGATTTAATAACTAAGGTTACTATCTTATTTTGCTTGAAAAAAATAATTAGCCCAAAGAGTAAAGTATTAAATAATATTTCAATTATTTTGTGCAATGATAAAAATCAATATACTCGGAACGGGCGGTTCTTATTATCTTAGCTTTAAGTTTAGTCCACAGATTGAGTATTAGTTACTGTTTAGTCCGCGCCAAGCGCTACTAAGGGAGGATGTATCGCTCGCTGTTGCTACCTTGTGCGCCACGTAATCTTACCAATTCGTCAAAAATAAAGCGCAACTAACCCTTCTTGAGGCATTCATTTATATAAATAAGTAATAAAATGTCTACCTGCCTGCTAAATAAATTACATAATTTAAACATAAAGAAACTTCACAAAAAATAGGTACATATTTAAAAAGTATTTTTATAAGTATCGGCGGGTTCGCTTTGAGAGGCTGGCAACGCGCAAGTGATGCTTTTGACATTACAAGTGTCTATAGGCTGTGGTAACTGCTTACCATTACCACTTCAATGGCATAAAATATGCTAAAATTAAATTCAGGTTAATTTTATGACCCTATTGTAACTACGATATAATAGACATATGAGTCGTTTTAGGTGACAACATTAATTGGTATAAATAATATTTCATGAACTATAATAACAGTACCATTTAAATCGAAAGCAAAATGGCAAAAGCTCATGTTGGTTTGTTCCTGGTATCCGAGGTATATCTGTTTGCATGTGTGCGAAGCGTATTTCGCTAGACGCACATTTGCGTATCAGCTGCCACGAATCGTCTAATTTACCCACAGACAATTCAACCTAATGTATTGTCTGTTAATTTACCTAAAATCAACTGACATTTAAAAATATGAACAATAAATATATTTTTTTAAATAAATTGTTAATCGAATATGTTATTAAAAAAACTTTCTTCTTGTGTAAAGAAAGATTTGTCAATCGGCTTTCCGTGCCTCATGATTAACATTGAAGCTGCATCGTCAGGCCTAGGTTACAATAACATTGCAATGTCATTGAAGCATTATACATAATCATCACGCATATTAGCGAAAAAAAAAGTAAAATGTGAGGTATTTAGAATAAAAATAATTAATATCACAAAAAATGTAATGAGTATAAGAAAGAGACCAAAAAGAAATAATTTTATACTCGTACTTAAATAATAATAACTTTTAAATAAAAAAATTAAAAATCCATCAAATCTCAATGAGTATATAACACGATATCTCTGCAATATGCTAGTAAAGAGTTTAGTATCTTGCAGATTCAGGTGACGTTATCAGGCCTATGTTACTACTTATATCTTTTCAGTGTCCTTGAAGTAACGGGATGCTAAGTTTCAATTCGTAGTTGCTCATATATTTTTACCGTCTAGAAAAGAGTTGATGGCCCACAAACGGCTGATCGAATTTTCTTGATTTATCAAGACACGCGGTAGCGTAGCCAGCCAAGTTTAAGCCAAAGAACTGGCGACGCAGCACCATGTGTATATTGACACGAACCATTTGGAGCCACTTTTCACCTCGTAATAACTCAAAATCTATGTAACATAAACTCATAAAATTTGGTTCGTTTATTAAATCCCGTTAGATTAACTAGAATTCCCTATTTCATAAATATAGTTCAAACGGTTATTGAGATATTAATCCCTCCACGACCGTTGACACGCCGGCGTGTCAGTGAACACGGTTGACGACACGTTTGGCTCAGTTTGTAGTGGCCCTACTTGCTGTGCCAGCGGTCGCGGGTTCGATTCCCGCTGGGGGCATTCATTTGTGTGATGAGCACGAATGTTTGTACTCCAGTTATGGGTGTTTATATTTATAATATGTATGTATTTAAAGCAGGATTCGAAACGATAATTATCATTGATAATTATCTTTAGTAATTATCATGATAATTATCATGATAAATA